TTTATTCACTAAGAATAGCTCAAAGAGATAGCGAGAACGAAAGTTAAGCACTTCCCCATTTGGATCGATGCCTTATATATTATTACTAATCGCTATTGATTACTACATTATTCATGCAATACTAATCGCTACTGATTACTACATTGTTTATGCAATCACTACTTTAGACTTTTAATTAAATCATAATCATCCGATATAGATTATGCATTAATTGGATCATGATATTCAATCAACATGTACCCGATCACTAGTCACTTGGGTACCGTGTAGTACTGTGATACAAGCTAGAACCCCAGTAACTTCATCCCGAAGTTACAACAATTTATATCTACCCTACCAAGTTTTTTCATTTTAAGGCGATTATCAAATACTGCACTAACCAATTTTTCTGAACTACACCCAGCTATTTGATGCAAGTACTAGGGACTGGACTCATCAACTTGTGACTTGAGTAATTTGAATTTATCACTCTTTGAATCATGAAAGTTTAACTTGCGAGTTATTCGCAAATTAATTAATTGTGTAATTTAATGATTAATAAGGCTCATTCTTCATTACCATGATTTTTATCAAGTTGCATTAATAATGTTTTAATAATTACATAATACGTATGTAATTTTGTGAAGTTTAATAACATGATATATTAAAAATTAAAAAAAATAAAAATAAATAAATAACATGATATATGTAATTCTACATACAAAATTTTAATAAAGTATTGCAATCGCAAATTTTAATAATAACTCTTGCAAGTTATTCATACAAATATGGCGCAAAATGAAAATGACAGTGAACATAGTGAACACGAAGAATTGTATAAAAAAAGTACAACTACTAATCAGTCTAAATGTTGCCCTAAAAGTTTCGTCTGGGACTACTTTGACAAGGATAATAATGGTATAACTGCAATCTGTAAAGTTATATTGGATAATGAAAAGAAATGTGGTGTCTCATATAATGATGGCTCAACAACTTCAAATTTGATTAACCATCTTGCTCGTCAGCATAGGATATTGAAAAATAATTCTTGCCAATCTATTAAAAATTAATTTAATAGAACTGAGGATGAGTATGAATTGATACGGCAGAATTTAATTTCATTTATCATCGATGATTCACAGCCATTTAATATAGTGGAATATAAAAGTTTTCGAAAATTACTGCATTCGCTTGATGAAAAATTTTCAATTTCCTGTAATAAAACTATAAAAACTTCTGTTAGCAAATCATTTTCTTGGAGTAAAGAACAATTAACAAGCTTAATAGAAAAGGAGAGTGTTGTCGTGTCTATGATGATAGATTTTTGGACAAGTCATCGTAACTAGGGATATATTGGAATCACGTGTGCTTGGATTTCTGATTCTTGGGAATTCAAAGAAGCACTACTTGTTTTACAACGTGTTCTATACCCCCATACAGGTGAAGTTATTGCTGAACTGTTGGATAATGTATTGGTTGAATGGGGTTTAATTAACAAAATGACGGTGATAACTACTGACAATGGGTCAAATGTAAAAAAGGCTGCCTGACTATTAGAACTTGATAGAATTCCTTGCGCAGCTCATGTGTTTCAATTGTCTGTTGGGAAAGGGTTAAACGTGATTAGGCATTTGGTTTTATATGTATAACGATTGATTGATTTTTTTAATAATTCACCTAAGCAAACCAAATATCTCCTTACCACACAAAGAGACCTTGGGTTTAAAAAATGTTTATCAACCATTAAAGATATTTTCACACGATGGAATTCATTATTTTACGCATGAGAAAGACTTCTTTATTTAAAAAGAGCGATAGTATACCTTCCATTATGGCTTCAATCAGATGAAAGTGCGCCTATATGAAAGGATGATAAACGATTAGCACGTATTATGCTTAGCAATGATGAATGGATATTTTTAGATGAATTGAATGATATATTGTGTGGTTTTGAAGAAATAACAATGTTACTAAGTGGAAATACTTATGTAACAATTTCTTTAATGTATCCAGCTATTTCAACATTAGTGAAAACTTTAAAAATATTATTACAACAATCTTATATAGAATCAGCTTCAACAGATATGGGTGAATTAACAATTCTTGATTCTGTAGAAGAAATTATCGATGATACAAAAGACATTGCTAAGATTAAAAAAGTTGACGCTTCATTAAGAATTATACACAAAACAATTAACATCTCAGTTCCAATGATTACAATTGGAATGCTTGAGAAGATTAAAAAAGTATTGTATGATAGTATATATCATTATTGGAATTCTGTTACAGACGTTGGCATGTTGGCATGTTTACTTGATCTACATTTTAAAAAGCTACATTTTGCCAACACAAATGTGGTTATACAAACTAAAGAACACTTAAAAAGTTTGTATGAATTGGAATATGAAATTCACCCAACTCCTAAATATCCAACGTCTTTGTCAAATATTCAGCATGATGATCATGATGATTTTGAAGCTGGTAGAATTCCAAAAAAATGAAAATCAATTTTATTAGATTTATATGCTGATGACAATGATAAAATTAGTGAAATTGATGATTACTTAGCTTTAGAAGAGGAGGGGAGACAAATGGATCCTTTTCAATGGTGGAGCCTTAAAAAAGAACAGTTTTCTATATTATCAAATATTGCACGGAAGTATTTGTGCATATTAGCAACTTCAGTCTCATCTGAACGGTTATTTTCGGATGTTGAAAACAATATTACACCAAATCGCACAAATCTTAATCCAGAATTAGTAAGTGAGATATTATTTTTAAAGAGAAATATAGATTTATTTGATACAATATTTCCAAATAATGAATAATTAACTTGTTATATATTTGCGTTACAACTTGTAATTTGAGATATTTGCTTTTATAAATAAAGGATAACATCCCTAATATATAAATATAACTAGTATATTTTTAAAATACATTTATAATTTATAATAAATAATATTTTGACTCGAGTAATTCGAATAAAACTCGAAAAAATAATTCGATCACATGATTCGAATATATTCGAATACTCTTCTGAGTTTAACTCGTGAGTCACAAGTTATCATGAGTCCAGTCTCTACCAAGTACATTCGTTTAAGAAATTTGATCTTTTCACATTACACAATGCAGCATGACTCCAATTTACCTTTCGATCCACAATCGTTGTAATGCTATATTCTTTGATTAATTGGCATTTTAACTTTCGTAGCCATATAGGATCCCTAATCTGATTACTCACAAACATCATTCGCTTTTCCATCCATTGCTTCATAAGAAGATTACTGCACTTGTTATTCAAAGATCTGCTTTTGTTTACAACTCTATTATCAATTTTAGCTCTACGATTCCTCTAGATTCAATGGCCTTTTCACCATCATTATTATTTTCATACACCTTGATCAAATCATTCTCATTGTTTGTATTATTAATGCTATATTCAGTATTCTTTAACGTTTCTAGTAAACTCCTCATCATTGCATCCATTTTCATAACTTCATCTAATGATGCTTCCATCACAACCATCAATTTGTTCTAGTAATGATGCCCAACCTCAACTATTCTATCATCATCGTTCATATTAGTAGATTTTTGATAATGAATAAATATCTTATGTTCATTTTTATCAATTCCAATTCTATATCGATAACACAATCCAAGATTATCTTATACCTTTAGATTACCTTCAGCAAATTTTTAGTAATAGTTGAA